GAAAACCAAACACATTGATTTAGTGCTCGGTAATCCTTGTTTAATCCCCAGTCCTTTGGTTTACATCACTAACATGGCTCCTGTAGTAGTCAGTGTTCTATCTTTGTTCTTGGCAGACTGAATTAAGGGAAAGATTTATTAATTTGTAAGTTGGCTTTGTAGATGCATCTTAAATGTGCTAAAACCCAAAGCAGTCCAGAAGCCAGGATTAATTTAACTATAAAAATCTGCTCTTTAAAACTCAAGTCTTTGCGACATTCCAAGTCAAGCTGCAGAGTAATTTATTGGCTTACTAAAGCAATTGCACTGTGTAGGGCTAAACTAAACAACTGTCTCATTGTAGGCCCTGGGCCCACTTCCTTTTTCACTCATTACTACAAACACAATTAATCTCTTCTTTCCTTGCTCATCTACACCCAGGTCTGCAATGTGTTATGGCTCATATGCTGATCAGAGAAAGGGGTTGGAACTAATGGATTCATTTGCAAATACGTTGGAGGGTCAGAGATCACCATTCATTCCAGCAGTGATAAATATTCCATGTAATTGCTGCACAAATGCTAGTGTTTGGGATTTATTTCTGTTAGTTTACGAATGCTGGTTGCTTTCTTCCCCCTCACAGTGCTGAAGATGGTGGTTCTTGGGAGGAAGCCTTTTGTAGTAATTTAGCTGTCATCACCTTCACTCCTGACTCCTTTAGGCCAGGTACAGGCTAGCCCTGTTCCTTTCTGGCAGGTGAGATTCCAGAGCTCACTCCAGCACCTTAAGGTGGCTCTTTACTCCCAACCTTCCTGCTACCAACTCAGCTGTGATCTCAAGTGATAACCACGCTCATGGTGCAATTGCAAAGAGCTTTTTTTCTTGTTTTTTACCCTACAAAAAAATTGTTGATTTCCCAGATGCAATCAGACAAAACCAACTGTATTTTACAGTCTATAGCGATACCGACTGTCCTTCCTGCTGGAAATCATTCTACTTTGAGGAAGCCCACGTCAGTTCCTTAAGCAAATAAACTTTTAGAAGATTGTAGTTCGCATTCAAACTACAGCATTTAGGCTCAACTCTAAATCAAACTAATGCTGTCCCGTTGCGAAGTTCAGGAAAACTATAATGTGGAAAACAAATCCCTTCACGGAGCGTTTAAATTGAATCCGTGGTGATGTAAAGTGTTAATGGACTAATTATTGTAGTGTCCAAGTTTCACATGGGCAGTGCTTTGGTAATGAGAAGTAAGTAAGTATAGGATGCAACGTGCAAGTATAGGAATTCCTAAGTATAGGAAATATTTCTGAGTATAGGAAGCAGCTCTGCAACATGGGTCCTTCCTCTCGAAGCTGATGAAACTCTTCACCTCTGTGCCTGCCTGTAGTAGGATTCCAGCTGCAGTTCATGCCCTCATTTTCAATTTGTGCTTGCATGACTAAGTTTAATTTTAAATCTACCTAGTCAGACAAACATAAAGGGCAGTAAGTTAGATGAGAAGGCACACAGTAATCTTTAGAGTGTTTTCCAGGAGACCTATTAGAAATCTGAGTCTCCATAATTACTTTAGACACCAATTGTGACAGTAAATGACATTTTTCAGATAATATACTTGGGAGTTCCTGACTTTCAGGCTCTGATCTAATAGTACTCTTATCAAGATAAGGGGTATTAATCCATTCTTCCTAGGGATCTGCCACTGTGCCAGTATCAAAGTATTTGCATCAAAAGTTGTTTCCTGCGGTGGATGTAAGATGCACAGGCCTTAATTAAAGATGCATTTTGTGTACTGCTTTGGGACACAAGGTCTAGAACCACGTGGGGTGGCTGTGAGCCAGCCCCCCAGGCCCCATGCCAGGAGCAGAAGCCAGGCTGCATCAATGCCTTGGAGCCTCGTAGTGTCCCTGGGGTGTTAGGTGCTCATAACTAGCATTCAGAACCAGGGATGTGCTGAGCATGGAGCTGCTGTGAAATGCTGGAGAGGTTTGCACCTCAGTCCTCACTCCAGTCTTAAAACTGGCTTCTCACCTCTTATACTATTCTCTGATGGCACAGCTGCCTTTATCTGCCAAGAGGATAAGAGGAA